CTGCCATTAGACTGTCATCAACATGGTCACTACTCTTAATGTCCTTCTAAGATTCACTGCTTCTAGTTGGCATTTGTATACTACAAATTTAATCCCACGGACTGTTGGATTGGATATGACCCTGCTAACTCTTGGGTTTGATTAATGGAAAGCATTTCATTTGGAATGAAATGTAATAATAAGCCTCTTAAGCTACATAAATTGTTAGGAGTGCATCACAGTTTTTCAATTTTCCTTTTCTTCTCTAGAAGAGAAAAAAAATGTTAAGAAGCAAGATATAGGCAAGATTATTTTCTCAACAGTGTGAAACCTCTGAAGTTCTCCTCTTCTGTAATGAATATTAGGGATTTCTGTTCAGCTGACATTAGATACTAGTTCAAAGGAGTAATGCGGGAGTAACCTATTCTTTGGGGGTTAGTGCTTTATCATTTGGAGAGGCTTAAAAGTAGATTTGACTGACAACTTGCCTCATAACTTCCTTAAGCTTTCTATTTTACATATTTACTTGCTTGTAGAGTTGATTCTTTATGAACATATTCTGCAGAGGAGTGGGGCAATGACCTTAAACTTATCATCATGAGGAAGCCTGTTCTGTGCATTAGAAAATGACACAGCCTCCTGTGACATGTAATACATTTGTATTTTGTAAATCAACATGCAAAGCAACTTCAGTAAGCAGTGACTTCAGCAGTGTGCCTCCAGCTAAACATCCAGGCATGACATTAAACTGCAGTGGTCAGGACTACGTCAGCATTTAGTAGGTACTGGAGGGTATTGTAGATTTTGCTCTTTTACAGCTGGTTCAGCTTCTCTAGCCTATGCTGATAAATTTATACCATCAGAAAATAAAATTACTATAGGAAAGGTATGCCCTGGCAAAAGAAGGCCGCTTTATTTCTTGGTCAGATGTTTTCTGTGCCTTGGTGCTTCATTTCTGCTAACAGGTATAAGGCAGTTCAACACAGCTTCCTAATGTTCTCTTTTCTCCTCTTTGATTTATACAGTGAACCTGTCACTATAAAGTGTAAGTGCTTTTCATTGTAAGATTGACAGCAGTAGTGAGGTTGTTACTGTGTGCAAACTTTGGCACCTCTTTCTCTCTTGAATAAGATAAACTTTGTGGGGGTTTTGTTTCAATGCATGTTTACTCTCTAAATTTTGATTAGGATTGTTTGGGTATTGTGATTACTAGTATTAAAAATTTAATTGTTACAGTGGAAAGTTTGGTTTTGGTTTGTTTGTTTGCTTTTAAGTAAGCAAATTTTGTGCTGTTTCTGAAGATGGCAGGTTCAGCATCACTTCTTTGAAGTTGGATCCCAACAAGTGTTCTTTTTTTCTTCAACTTATAGCAGTTTTTGTGAGTTGCCATAGGGTGCAGTTGGTGCTTAGATCTTTAATGATGTCTTTCACTATAGAAGTTCAGGTTGTTTGTTTTGTTGATTACACTTAAAAACTCCAGCAAATGTCAAAGTTTTTCTGAAATGGTAGACGGCCTTCTGAATGGATCTTGAGAGGGTTTTGGAAGTCTAAACAAATGAGAAGATTATGCATTGTGCTTTGAAAGAGTGATATTATGTAGTTCTTAATACCTTAATTGGGAAGCAGTGGATTATTCCTATAATGGGAGCAAACCTGATTATTAATAAGATTTTGGTTTTACGAGTGCTCAAGTTTAGTGATATTTGCTCTTTACAAACTCTTTCTATTGCCATCACTATTTCTACTCTCAGTGGTAGTTGCTGACAGATACTGGTCATCTCATACTCCATCTCTCAGCACTTCTGCTTCTCTCTTGCTTTAGTTCTCAGTGGTTGTGTTCCACCCATGATCTCTGGCAGGCTTCTAGTGGGCATGGGAGACATCTTGTCAATAAGAAGAGGTCATTGCTTCTAGTCTTCTGTATTTATTAACCTTTTCCTCTCAGTCTTGAACACTGAGTTCAGTCTGTCTTAGCTGTTCAAAATGTTCCGAAAGCTTCCTTCCAGCAAGATTATTTAGGTGATACAGACAGTTCTCAAACTGGTGGTAGCAAATGAATAACACAGTGTCCACCTATCAAGAGGGCAGAACGCAGTGTTTTACCACATGAGCGTTGCTGAGTCTGTCACGTGTAATACTGCATGGGTTTGGTTCACTTTGACTGGTAGGCTGTCTGGAGAGTAGGATCTGAAGTTTCACCTTGGTACTCTTCTTTTGAGCCACTAGCTCACTGGGGATGATACTGGTTTTCCTTTGTGACCTCTGGCCATGAAGTAGAATGCATCATGTAACATTACTGCTTCTTTGTAAGGCTCTGCTGCTCTAATTGCTTGAAATCTTTTGAGAAGGATTTTTTTTTTTTCCAGAATATTTTCAGGATTGGAAAAATATCTTCCTGTTCAAAAAAACCCCAGCATATCTATTTCCCCAGAAAAACCTATCTTTTCTGATTGATGCTTTTTTAGCTTGTTCTTAACAGCTTCCTGTGCTACAGATGCTCTGGAGTCTTGTGCAGAGCTGAAGGTCTGTGCTGGATGTTTTAGGGCTAGTGTGGTGTTTGCCTTCTGGGGTGGCAGAGTGGTGGAGTGTGTTTGTTTTGATTGCAGGGGGACAGTGTGGTAAGTCCAAATACGCTTACGTTGTGTGTGCTACTTTGATGAGAAGCTACTGTTTAAGCCCAGATCTGGTTGAACTGGGAGCATTTCATTTCCCTGGCTTGCTCGTATTCCACAACCAACAGGATGTTAATAAAGTTGAGACAAGCTTCTAGTCAGGTCTTCATACAAATAAGCTATTTCAAATATACTTCATTTCTTGTTGCTTTTGTCGTTATTTTTCTCCTCCCTGCTTTAAACCTTTTACCTTGGAAAATTCCTGCTTCTCAAATTTACCATAACTAATTTGCCAGTTTCTTTTGAAATACAAAAACAGGGTCATCTTATATCTTTAGATATCGTTAGCTAAACTGTGGCAGTAAAGTGACAGTGAATAGCTATGCAAAAGACAAGAATTAATGATCATTGTTAGTGAAGGCTGGATAAAAAGAAATCCATCATAGCTTGAGATCCTTGACAGCAGAACTGACATCTAGTCTGCAGTTCCCTGACCTATATTTTTCTAGTTTGTTCCTTCTATCCAAGTAAAGAATTTTCTATTTGTCCACATTTATTGTTTTGGGGTGATTTTTTTTTTGATGGGGGGGGGGGGGGCATGAGATGCTGGCTTTCTAATTTGTAAACTTGAATGAAAGAGGCAAAATATTACACATTTCAGAGCTATTATTTCATGGTCTCTGCAAACTGTGTCATCCCTGTGCTAATTTGCACAAACCTTATGTTTTTCACAGAAACCTTGAGGGCCAGGAGTAACAGGATTTTTTTTCCCCTTTTTTATTTTTAAATGATAGCTTATATTACGAAGTGCAGATTGGCTTGAAAAAAGGGATCATTGATCTGATGCCTGTGGCACTGTTCAAAATTTTGCAAATATATGAAGAGGCAGAATTAAGTTATTTCAAGGTGTTCCCAGAGGGCAGTAGTCACAGACAGCCACAGAAGAACTCTCTGTTAAGTAATTGGCAAATTAAATACAGGGTAGTAAGAGAACTCTCTCTGCTTTTTATAGTTTGAACAGAAACACTTGAATCCTACAGTGCTGAAGTCTTACTCTTTCATAGAAAACCACATCAAAGTACATCATACCTTTTCTTCTCATCTGATTCGTGAAGTTATATGAATAATATTAGCAGCAAATTTAAAGAGCACTAAGGAGAAACTGCCATGTTTTCCTTTCTGGAAATTGAAACAAAAAAAAAAAAAAAGAAAAATCACTTAAAGCAGTATTAGAAATCAAAAATGGGTTCTGCATAACATACTGCTCTACTTTGATTTTTTTGCTTTGCTTTGATTTTTGATAAAATAATTATAGATAAGATGGACAGGTAGGTGCTTTTAATGTTTTAAGTGTTTGGGGCTTTTTTTCCATTAAAAAAGCAGTATTGCCTGGAAAAGGGAACTTTAGCTGTGTTTATCTAACCTGCTACAAGAGAATCATTTGAGTAAGAGAATTCTTGGACCAAAGTAGCGCTTATTGATAGAGAAATCTGTTCTGGTGTGTGACCTGCATCATGATTTTGAATTGTATGTGCTCACAGACACAGCATTACATGAGCGAGTGGCGTAGACTGAAGTCAGAAGCACAGAATCGTTTCAGCTGGAAAAGACCTTTAGAGTCATCGAGTCCAGCCATTTACCTAACCCTGCCAAGTCCACTGCTAAACCATGTCCCTGAGCACATCATCTGTGTGTCTTTTAAATCCCTCCAGGGATGATGACTCCACCACCTCCCTGGGCAGCCTGTTCCAGTGTCTGATAAACCTTTTGGTGCCTAAATTTTTCCTAATATTCAACCTGAACCTTCTCCTGGTGCAACTTGAATCTATTTCCTCTTGTCCTATTGCTTGTATCAGCTTGGGAGAAGTTGATACTAGTGTCATCTGAATTGTCTCTTCAAATTCCTGCTATACTCCACACCTGTGATACATTTTTTTTCATAGGTTGTAACTGTGAAAATGCAGTAGGCTATATCTCTTGTTCACTGGAATGGGAAAATCCTATTTAACAGACTTTTATGACAAAGATTTGGTTCTATTGATTTATCTGCTTAGATTGTGGAGGAATAAATTTGCAGCAGTTTACAGAAATAACCATAAAGACACACAAAGTTTAGTCTTCAGTTAAATCTTATACAAGAATCTCTAAGAGAAATGGAGTTTTACTTAATAGACAAAATTCACAGATTTTAAATAGTTCTGGCTGAGAACTTTCTGTATTTTTCCCTTTTTGTAATACAGAATCTGGCTGAATACTAGAAATGGTATCTTTTGGGTTGAAAGGAATTGAGTTAAGTTTATTAATTTATTGTTAACAAAATATGCTGCTGCGAGGCATAGAAATATTGAAGTCCTAGTTATAAATTTATGTTAATCTGTATAATGATTTATGATTTTGTTTTCTTTGTAGTTATTTGAACTGCTAGGCCCTGAAGGTTTTGAACTCATAGAGAAACTCCTACAGAACAGGTCTATGATTCTGGAAAGATCTTTGACTTGTCCAAATGATACCAGGTTCCAGATTCTGCAAGGTAAGCAACTACAAAATTCTTATTCCAAACTAGATAAAAAGTAGTTTTCTAACTGTTCAGGTATATTTCAAACAATAAAACTGTCTGTGTGTATTTAAAAAGCAAGCCAAAAAAAGTACAGGGTGTGTAGTGAGGATATTTGTACAAACTTAAAGAAATTGTGGGCTGGTTATACAGAGGAAACAAATACATGTTGCATGCATTTTACTTTTCAGCTGCCCATGAGCATGTGTAATTTTTAATTAATAAGTAATTCATAATTGTTGCACTTTTTCTATTTTAATAGATTATTCTGGACGTAAGTTGACCTTTGGTTATTCCTCATCTGCTTTCCTGCTTACTCTCTACTTATGTACTTGCATCAAGTCTGGGACTTGGGGGAAAAAAAGCACAGTAACAACTACTGAAAAAAAATAAAGTTAAGCTTAAGGATGGATAAGTGAGAGGGGGGAAAAAAAGGGATTCAGGTTTTGTCCTGTGATTTTGGGTTTTATAAGATAAATTGCCTACACAGAATAATTCTTTTAAAATCTGTCTTCTCACTTTCACCTCTGACAGAAATAAATCTAATTGTGAATAGATTGTGACTTGGGATAAATCTTACATAGACGATAGCACCATGCAGCCCATTGCATCATCACAGTGTACAGAATTAGAAAAACGTGAATAAAACTAGTTATGCTGGACTTGGGTATCCTCACAATAGTTATAAAATGCAAATAGCCTCTTTTTAATATGTTTATCATAAGTGAAATGTTACATAAGCAAGTATTTAGAAGTTCACTTCTTACTGTGCTGACAGTTAGTCTATACTCATCAGAACAACTGTTCATTCTATCTGTTCATGACTTCAAAGTGGAGTGTCTTGCTAGGATAACAAGGTTATGTGTCTTGGGTTTTTTTCTTCCCTTCTCAAATAATAAAAGAAAATAAAATACATGCACTAGAAATTGAACTATTATGGTTTTTATGTGCAGATTTTAGTTACAAAGTATTTTCTTCTCACTTAGCATAGGTAGTATATTGGAAGCTTTTATGAATTTATTCTTCACTGTGCCATCCATAAAATCTATCACAGAAGTTTCTGCTAGAACATGGAGAAATAACATTTTCAGTGTTGTACTTCTAAGGCAATAAGACAGCACTACTGACTGTATGCTTTTTTCACTGATGAGACCACTCTTCTTTCACTGTGGTAAAGAAGTGAATGATATTTGAGTATCTTCTCTGAGACTGGAGATGCTCTACCTCAAGTTCCGTTCATTAATTTTAATAAGGATTTTTCTTTTTAAGTTGATCAAAATGGTATTTCTAGTGGAAATTAAAGTTTTCTTTCCAGAATTGCATCTGGGGAAGGGAATCATTTGTGACTGCAGAAATTTAAGTCAACTTTGAGTAATTTGTGTCTTATGAAAATAAGTACAAGTCAGGGAACTGAATGTGTGCGGCATTTTAGTAGCATGCTGTATTATTTGACTGTTTCTTATGTAATTTATTTCCATGGTAGTAAAAGTGATTGTTGTGTTTATCAAAAAAACTTGAGTAAGCATTCTTTATCCTCTTGTGTTCAGTCTGAATTAAATTCAGTCATGAAATTGCATCCATTGTTGTACTGTTTTCTAATACAGGAGAGAGGCTTAAAACTACAAATGTAATACTGTTCATGTGGACATTTTGATGGTTTATTAGAATATTTTCAGTGCTCCATGACAAATTATAGTCACTGTATCCATTATCCGTGCAGTGAGGTACAGGAGTTTCACTGTTACTGTAGATGAAAACTAAGTGGCACAAATTGTTCAAAACATCAGTCAGGTGTGTTTATTTGATGAAAAAAAGTTTTCAAGTTTTCAGCTTCAGAGTTTGACTGCAAAAATACATGTAAAACATAATTGTGCATAATATTCAGTCAGACCTACATAAACTAATAATCTGCACAGTTTTGAATAGAGAAGTTTTAAAACACTGATATAGTTAAAAACAAAATGAACCTCTCCACCCCACTGCATATAAAAGACTAGGGTGTGTCTTTGAAAGTTTTGGCCAGCAATGGCTGCGGAAGGGCTTTTATCTGGTTGCCTGCTTCCCTGGGTTTATTCTTTACTATAATAGTTTCTGTGCTTCTGATTCTTCTTGATTCAGTCCTACTGCTTATGCACAAAAAGGCCAGGAGTCATTGTGGTTGTGTTGAGCAGGATTTCTTTTCTCACTTGTTTAGGGAAGTCACATTGTGAGTATACTTTCAATACAACCATGTTATATAAATTAATTCACAGAATCACAGAATATTAGGGG